CCTTCAGTACCATCTGTTCTTGATCATGCTACCTTCTGAAATGGTTGAACATTGACCAATTCTTTTTGGTACAGTGATTCTGTGTATTCCTTCTATCTTCTTCTGATGCTTCCTGCATCGTTTAACATTTTGCCCTTAGAACCCTTCAGTATTGCAAGTTGTGACTTGAGTTTTTTCTTCATTTCTTTCAGCTTGAGAAATGTGAACATGTTCTTCCCTTTTGGCTTTCTAGTTCCAGGTCTTTGTACATTTCATTATAGTACTTTATCTTCATGAGCTGCCTTTTAAAATCTTCCATTCTCTTTAACTACTCTACATTCAACAGAAAGTTTTAGAGTCTCTTTTGACATCCATTTTGGTCTTTTCTTTCCTTCTTTTTAATGACCTCTTGCTTTCCTTGTGTATCATGTCCTTGATATCATCCCACAACTCCTCTGGTTTTCAGTCATTAGTGTTTAAATCTGTTTTTTATAATGGTCTCTAAATTCTGGTGGAAAGGTCCCTGGGTGATATAAACGGTCTGTACTCGGCTCGTAACCCAAAGGTTGCCTGTTTAAACCCACCCAGTGGCACTGCAGCAGAACGATGCCTGGCAAGCAGCTTCCATAAAGATTATAGCCAACTCTACTGTGAAACCAAATGAATACATAAACAAACGAATGCCTCTAAATTCAGATGGAATATACTCAATATCATACTTTGGCTCTCGTGGACTTGTTTTACTGTCCTGTAAAGTAAATTGGAACTCAGTGATTTGAGGTGTAGAATTATTCTGAATGGGACAGAAAATATACATTGCCTGTCATGATGGTGTAGTGCCTACGACATTTGACTGCTATCCAGAAGGCTGGGGGTTTAAACCCACCAGCTACTCTTGAGAAATAAGACTGGGCAATCTACTTTCATAGGGATACTGCCTCAGAAACCCAAGGAGGGGTTGCTGTGAGTTGGATCCAACTCAATGGCAGTGAGTTTGGTTTTTTGGTTTGGTTTGGTCATGTGCCTTAAGCCTCATATACTCTCTCCACCTCCACTACCCTAGTCTAAGTCTTCCTAACTAGTCTGCTTGCTTTCGACATAGCCTCTTTTAATCCATTTATTGTGGTTTAAAAATCAAAGTCAGATCATTCAGCTCTCCTACCTAAACCTCTCTCCTTACTATGGCCTACAATATTGTTGGTCCCTGCCTTCCTCTCTGACCTCATCTTGTGTGCTGCTCATTCCATTACTGCGTATCATTAATACTGACCTCTTCTCAAGTCTCAGTTGCTTCAAGCTCTTTGCTCTCCTTTGTTCTCATTTTTCCTTTGGTTTGGAATGTTATGTTGCCTCTTCACATGGCTCATTCTGCCTCCTCTTAGCAAAAAAAAAAAAAAAAACCTCACTGCCATCAAGTCAATTCCAACTCATAGTGACCCCCTTTGGGTTTCCAAGACAGTAAATATTTATGGAAGTAGACTGACTAGTCTTCCTTCTGCAGAGTGGCTATTGGGTTTGAAGTGTCAACCTTCTGGTTAGCAGTCAAACGCCTTGGGCACTACGCCACCAGAGCTCCTTATAGGTCTCAAATTTCACTTCGTCAAGGACTTTGTTGACCTAAGTAGATCACCTTGTTCTTACCCATCCCAGCATCATCACAATTAAAATTATTCTGTCCTAGTATTCATCACAGGAGCTCTGGTAGCATAGTGCCTAAGGCACATAACTGCTAGCCAGAAGGTTGGCGGTTCCAACCCACCAGCCACTCCTTGGAAGGGAGGTTGGGCAATCTACTTCTGTAGTGATACTGCCTTGGAAACCCAAGGAGGGGTTTCTATGCGTTGGGTCCAACTTGATGGCATGTAACAACAACAGATTTCATCACAGTTTGTAGTTACTGGTTTATTCATTTATTTCTTTGTCCATTAACTGCCTCCCCTACTAGCATGTAAGTTCAGTTAGGGTAGAGACTTGGTCTTCACTATTGCATTCCTGGCCCCTAACACATTACCTGGTCCATAGTGACACCTCCATCAGTTTTTTTAAAATGAATAAACTTTTGCAACCCACAGCAATTTGGAAGCTGAAAAAGAGATGCTATTCTCTCATGTCCTCTTGAATGTGGGCTTGCCTCAATTTCTTGCAAATTCTAAAAGCCAATTTAATGAACAGAAATTAATTTACACTAGGGCCCAGATTATAGAACATGTATCTTCAATTGGGTTTTCCATCAGTTCCCATTTGAACATAGCAAATCACAGGACCTACACGGTGGTGTCTGTTGACTAGGTGAATTTATTAGTTCTGTTTGTCTTTTGGGGTCCAAGTGCTCCTCAGCAAAGAAACCCTGGTGGCACAGTGACTAAGCACTTGGTTGCTAACTGAAGGGTTGGAAATTTAAACCCACCAGCCACTCTGTGGGAGAAAGATGTGGCAGCCTGCTTCCATAAAGATTACAGCCTTGGATACCCGTGAGGCAGTTCTTTGTCCTACAGGGTTACTATGAGTCAGAATCGATGGCAGTGGGTTTTTTGGGTTTGGCTCCTCAACAGTGACATATGTTGTATGTTTAGGGAAACAGACCCCAACTATTGAAAATGTTCCATATTCTCCTTTATCTGTGGTTACTCCACATACTTAATAAGTTTGCCATTATTACCCAAGCCGATTTATTTTTCCTTTGCAGACCTTCATAAGTCCTCATTATGGGATAAATCTGGTGTTGTCATATGCAATCATGGTGCTCATGGGCGTCTGGGCATTCTTCGTTGCTGGAGGCTCCTGCCGAACCCTGAAGCTCTGCCTGCTCTGCCAAGACAAAGACTTCCTTCTTTTCAGCCAGCGCTCCAGATAATCTCCGGGAGGCAGCACCTCGCAAGCAGTAGGCTGTGTCTTCAGAGAAGCACAACTGTGCCTTTTTTGTAAAACTCATTTTTCCTAGTGGAATTTAGGGAGGAAAAAAAAAATCTAGATACAAGTCCCACTCGTGTGGCTTTCATGCCACAGCTATCCTAAAGGGAGGCATCAGTGGTGTGCATCCCAGCTGTACGGGAGAACCACCTGGGGAGCCTAAAGAATGCCGATTTCTGGGCTACACCCTCCAGATTGAATTCGTTTGGGCATTTGTTTTGTGAAAAGCTTTCCAAGTGATTCTGGTATGTGGTCAGTTTGAGAACCACCAGTGTCTGTCAGTGGAACATACTGAGAATGCCACAAATGAGATTCAGTGGTTAGCTGCCTTCTAACTTGGGCTGGGCAAGTGAATACCTGAATGTCCAATTCTGCTGGTTAGCCTCTTTCTTTTTATGTTCTCAAGTTGCAAAAGGCTAAAGGGCTATCATCTCTGTCATCTGTTTTCACCCGTGTAACTAGCAGCCCGTTGTATGAGACCATGGTGGGCTATGCTTCTAAACACAGTCATAAATTGTATTGCTGCCCTGTGTTGATTTAGCCAAAGTAAGATATTGGTTAATAAGCTGTATTTCTCTGAAGCTTTTTCATCCTAGATTGTTCTTTTTGAGGCTGTACATTGGTTTTGAGTATAGGTTCATTTTCTTTAAAAATAATTACTTTCTGATTCCTTGGGAAGGTGATATAGGATCCAGCTTATTTTGTGCAAAATCTTCCCTCCATTTAAAAAGGTTCTTCATGGCTCTGCCCCAGGGCCATTGGCTGCAGTGTTAACACTGGAATGCTAGTCCCTAGGCTAGTTGAGGTAGAGCCAACCGTTTTACTTCAGTGATGTGCTAGGAGCTGAGTAGTGTGCCCAGAACAGGCTTCCCTGGAGCTGGTGGACCATTAACCCAAAGCTCAAGGAAAGCAAGCCACCGCGGTGGTGTTGACACTTGCATTTTGCTCCTGTGGTGTTATACTAAACAACATTTTCCTCCAAAATGGAGTAATATAAAATTGAAAATATAGTTTAAGTTGCTAAATTCATGCTTCACATAGTCCATATAATCATTAGAGCTAGTAACTTTCTATGACTTTTGGTAGCAAATACAACATTCTTGTTATAGGAACCCGAGGTATTCATTCAGCTTCTAAACAACCCTTTTGATTTCCTTTATAAAGAAGAAATGCCAAGAAATTGTGCCTATATTATGTAGAAATTGTTCTCAGTGGATGCCATTGGGAGAGCTGGTAGTGTGAAATGGAAATTACCTACACATGAAAGTGATCCATCAGTGAGTCCCATATGCATAATAGAGCATCCAAAAGAACTAGGAGCAGCAATGAGAGGGCTCAGCAGTGACACAACAGATGGATAAATTTGGCAATACTTTGATGAGGCAGAATGATGAGCATGTTTAAAACAGAAACATGGTCGGTATTTTGGGCTGGCTACATGCCGTTCCAGGGACCAGAACCTTGTATGTGAACCAGGCCTTTATCAATAAACAATCTCCCCTCTTCTCTCTCGTGTTTAAATTATAAGAATATCTCAATCTAGGGATACAAGAGAAGGGCTTCTAACAAGGTTGTAAATAGTTTCATAAGCAATTACAATTATTTCCCTGAAGCTTACTTCAGCAGTAATGCCAGTGCTTCCATTGGCATTTGTTAATTTTCCAGCTTGATACGAGATTCTCCTTAGACTAAAAGAGACAAGGACGTAGACTGAAGAGTGAAATTTCCTGTGTAGACTTAAGAGAAAAAAATACTTATCGGACTGGAATTTATTCTTATCATAACAAGGTATTCTTTGATGAGTTGAATTTATATATAATTTATAATATATATGCTTGGTTATTACACTGATTTACAAGTGTCTTAAATGGATAGTCTGAGAAAATGTTGATTTGGAAAGTAAAGAACATTTGAGAATATTGATATTATATATTTGAGCTCTGAGGCTGTTCTCTGTACATTAACAGTTTAATATTAACTAAAGAAGCTGGGATATTACAAAAGCTCATTCAGAAAAACTCCTCGGGTGAGAAGAAAATTTTCTTTGATGGCGAGACTGTTGTCTTAGTTCAGGAAATCATTTGATAATCCATGATTGCCCATGATCAAGGAGCTTTGGAACTCCAAGTTCTCCTAGAATGTGAACATTGTCATCATCAGTCAACTCAGGCCCTGTTGTTCAAATAGCCTTGCTTTGCCTCATGCCAAGGAAGCCCAGAGGGAGGGTGCAGTTGCTCTGTTGTATATGTATCAAGATGCCTCATTTTCTTTTTTAATATATATATTTGTTATTTATAAGCAGCTTTCTGAGCCCTATTCGTATCTGGTGAGGAGAAGATGGTGGTGCTGGTGTGTGCTTTCCTGCAGGTTGGATTTTCTCAGTTTGGAGGGAAACGTGGATATAGTTAAAGCGGGCCTTGGAATTGTGAGTACTGTTGCAATGCTCACATGTGTTGCCATGTGAATAACAGAGACTGATTTCATTGCTCTCTAATAAAAGCTGTATTTATTTCTTTTTCTGTACTTAATACATTTGAATGAAGTCATATCTGGAGAAGTTTTGTTACCTCTATCCTGGCCTTCCTGACTGGCAACATAGTAGTGGCAGTCCTTTTTTGGAACATCTTAATGAAAATAATGGCAGAAAGGAACACACCATGGTACCTGCAGACTGCATAGAAAGTGGCTTTTGCTCCCAGTGTGCATATTTTCATTCTCCAGCACATTTTAATGTTTGTTTGGAGTGGCAGATTCACACCTAAAATGCTAGGTGTTCTTTTCCATAGAGTTGAAGCAGGGTAAGTGGCTTGGACACAAGCTTCCTCTCACCTGCTGCTCTTCCCACTTGTGTCCACCTTGCCTCAAGTTGTGAATTAGCAGTCAACATGGGCCTGTGGGCTCCAGTGACACCTTGCTGACTGACCAGCAAGGGTGACAGTCTGTCACAGGCAGCAGCAGCTGTCCTCTCTGGGAAAGGCTCCTTGAGAGGCTAGTTTGTGTTTGCCATGTTTCTTCTGGGTTCCACACTCCCTAACTCCACGTAGACAGGTAGATGCCACAACAAAACAGTTTTAAAGTGCTTTGCTTAGAATATTTTATGATCATAATGTTTACATTTCTCATGTGATTATATAATGCAATAATTACTTTATAATTTAAAAATTAATACTTAATTCTATTAAAATTTAGTGTTTAGAAAGGTGGATACTATATGTAAAATATGTAACATTTTATGTAAGTTATACTTTTATGTCACACATACTTGGAATGTCAGACCTTGCATTCAATACATAATGCGGTAGAATCTTTCCAGACCTGTGTTTTTCGGTGAAAAATAAAAAAGATTGTTTGACACACTCATTCCCGTGTTTCCTCTTTAGAATACATATCCTTCAGTATCAGTTATTACTACAGTTTTTATCTCAAAAAACTTGGCTGTAAATTGTTATGACTAATCAGTTCTGAGTCCTTTTTCAAAGAGAGTCAGTCTTTGACATCTGACTTAAAATTTAGAAGGTCTATTTCTTGCGATGTCCAAACCCAAGCAGAAGAGACCAGGTACCTCACTTTACAAAATCTATTAAATAATTATGAAATAGTATGTTTATAAAGCATCATTTAATAGTGGCTGAAGATGGAAACCTGTTGAGGAGACTTTGTTCCGTGGAGCGGCTGATTGGTTCAAACTGCCAACTTTAGATTCGCAACCAGATGCTTTAACCACTGTGCCACCAGAGTTCCTTCACCTGTTTAAAAATGTGGATAGTAGGAACTTCTCAGTTGGCCTATGGCCTCAGTCTCAACAAAAGGACTAGGGATTTTATACATGCTAAGGAGCTCTGGTAGCATAGTGCCTAAGGCACTTGACTGCTAACCAGAAGGCTGGCGGTTCAAACCCACCAGCCACTCCTCGGAAGGAAGGTTGGGCAATCCTACTTCCGTAGTGATACTGCCTCGGAAACCCAAGGAGGGGTCGCTATGAGTCGGGGGCGACTCGATGGCAAATAACAACAACAACAACAAGGTGACTATAGGAGTCCTGGTGGTGCAGTGGTTAAGCTCTCAGCTGCGAATTGAAAAGTTGGCAGTTTACTAGCTCTGTCGGACAAGGATGTGGCAGTCTGTTTCTTTAAAATTATAGCCTTTGAAACCCTATGGGGCAGTTCTACTCTGTCCTGTAGGGTTACTATGATTGGAAACAACTTGATGACAAAGAATTCGGATATGTATAAAAGATAATTCACAGAAAAAATTCAAATGGCCAGTAAACATAAGACAGAATGCTAAGGCACTAACAATAAAATAAATGCAAAACAAGCAAATTAGTTTTGGACTATCAGATTGTCAAAGATGTAAAGAATGATAATATCATGGGTTGTTGAGCATATGGTAGAAACAGCATGTTTTAGGAATGTACATTAATACAACCCTTTTGGGAGGTAATTAGGAAAACTTTTATTTATAAAATTTTGAGATGTGCATGTTTGGAACCAGTGATTCCTTTTCTAGGAATTAACCTTACACAAAACTACACAAGGATCTATATTGTCTTGTAATAGTGAATAATTTGCAACAAATTTTTCTAATGGGGATTGAAATTAAGGTACCAGGGAAGAGCAGAACTCTGCATTAAAAAAGATTGACATAAATTTGCACTCAAATTACAATAAAAAATAAAAGATTTGGGACATCCAGAATATGTTAGAAAACAAAACCCAGGTGAAGACCATTCTTTCATTCAACAAATATTTCTTGTGCCAAAATACTCACACTGTGCTAGGTTTGGGGAATATCAAACAGTGAAAATAGGCATAATTTTAGCCCATATCATGCATATAATGTGCCCCATTTCATTTTACAAAAAGTTGAAAAGAGAAGTATACACCTACATACACAGAGAAAGTCTGGAAAGACAAGTGCTAAATTGTTATGACTATTTTGGAA